TGGACCGAAGAGTCTCTCCAGCATATCAAACCAGGGTCCAGCTAATCCACTCTTATATCTGCTAGCGGCTGGGGCCTGCTGCTTCAGAGAGGGGCAAGATCCTCTTGTGGCCAATTACAGAATCCTTCCTGATCTCCTTCCTCCCTCCCCACGAGAAGCATCTTGCAGCTCTTGGGCGGCTAGCAATTGCTTTGCACCATGAAGCATCCTCTCCTTTATGGAAAAACTATGTCCAGCTAATAAACCTGGAAATTTCTTGCTTAATGAGAGTCCCAGCAAGACAAGGAGCAAGCAAAGGGAGTCCTGAGAAACAGAAGTGCTTTGCATTTCTACAGCTCTCTGCATCTGCAGGTCTCAAAGTGCTTAGCAAACGGTCAGCCTCAGGAAGGTAAATATTATTACAGATTGGAAAAATGAGGCACAGGGAAAATGCCCAACTGGCCCTAAACCACACAGTAGGTCAGTGATGAGCCTTCAGTGGAACCAGGGGCCCTGACTCTCAGCCTGCCTTGATCTACCTACAGCAAAGATGTTTATGAATAAAGTTGCATAGTTCACACCGTAGATTGGCCCAATGCTAAATGTCTCAAGATGTGGCATGTCCATCACCTAAGATTTACTGCTTGCCAGTAGAGTATTGTCAGCTTACTGATCTTTGCTTCTTAGTTGTCCCCAGTTACCATGGTCTTGGGGCACCTCACCATCTTTGAATATATTCACCCTTGCCAATCTTCCTATAAAGCAGGGCAATGCTATTCTCCCCATTTTACAGGTAGCACTAGAGGCACAGAAGGATTGAGTGACTTGCCAAAGGTCACAGAGGCTGTTTGTTGCATGGTAGGGAGTTGTATCCATATCTCCTGAACTGTAGGCTTTTGCTCTAACCACTTGGCCGGTCATCTTTCCATTTTGCTTCAGAGCTCAGAGTCTCTCTTCATCCTGAAGCACATACACATACCCAGGGACAGTGACATCTTGCAGTATTCCTATTAAAACCCCATGGCCTTCGACTCTTCAGCTGTCCTTTCCCTCATCTCTGAAGCAGCGGCTAAGAAGCTGGCCTGAAGGCTGAAATTAGTGAAAAATGGCCAGGACATCCATGATGCTCCAGTTAAAAATCACACTTGAGCAGGCAGCTCCCTCTGGTTAGCTTCCTATATCTTCAGCCCTAACAGTGACACTGAGTGCTCAGCCACAGTTGGCACAGAGGCCTGCCGGGCTCCTCTCTCCCAGACAGTAACGCCTGGAAATATGAACAGATGGCTCTGTTTGTTGCCCGTTGCAGAAACCTCACGCCAGGCTCGCTGAAAATGGAATCCCTTGTCTGTCTCGGCTTACTGTGATCAGATGGGTGACCACCCAGGATCCTGGTTTTCTCTGTTTAAAAATCACAAATTCTCCGATTTAAAAAAAAAACTCGCAAATTCTCTGATGAAAACCCCCTAAATCCAGGTTTTTCCATGATTAAAATGAAACATCACTATATAGGTATCAGTTGAACGCAATGTTTTATTGATATATTTACAATTTTAAAGCAATTTGGAAAGCTACCTGTGCCTCAGTCACTACAATAAAATAAATTCTAAATACCTATCAATTTCGATGTTTGATTTTGGGTTTTTTATCATGGAAAATCAGAACTCCCCCTGCCCCCTTCAGTCACTAGGATACAGGTCCAGCTACGGCTGTCCACCCCCCGCCCTTGTGGTGCTGAACAGCCCTGATATGCCAGTTCCCTGCCGGTGCCCCTCACTCTCCAACCACAGGCCCCCCCACCCTCCCCAGCCCTGCTGGAGGGGGCCCTCAGCTGCCAGGGACCTGGGCCCGCAGCCCCCTGCCCCCTGCAGCAGCACCCAAGCCCCAGCTGCCACCCATGGGAGGTGGCAGCTGCTGTTGCAGTGCAGCAGAGCATGGAGCCCGGCTCTCACTCCCCCATGGGTTGCATGGCTGGAGCAGAGTCTGTGGGGGGCGCAGGTGTGGGCTCCCCACTGTGGGCCTGGGCTCCCCACCCTGCTGCCCTCCCCTTGGGGCCTCTGCAGCCCAGTGAGCAAGACCTGGCACGGCAGGGCAGAGCAGGGCCAGGTGGAGAAGCTTAGTGCCACCTCCAGGAGCCCCACGCTGTCATGGCAAGGTGTTCCCTGCCTGTCTGGCAGCAGCGGGGGGCACAACTCTGCGCCGCTGCCCCTGCTGCTGCCAGGAAGGCAGGGGCACCTGCCTGTGGTGACATGAGGCTCACAGAACCGGCACCAAGCTTCCCGGCCTCACTCTGCCCTGCCTCACCGGGTCCCACCCCGCAGTCTGGGGGCAGGGCAGGGAGCTCCAAGCCCATGGCTGTGGCCTCATCCCGCTCGCTGCCTGGGCCCTGTGGCTGCACATGGCCCCCGGCCCCAAGCCCCATGCACCACCTGGGCTGCGCAGCAGCCCCAGCCCTGCCCAACTCCTTCCCTCCCTCACTATGGAGGCCTCAATTTCCAACCCCATGACTTACCTGCAGGAGCTGTTCTCCAGGCTGCCTGGCAGCCATGTGTGTATGTACATGTGCACATTCACATGGCACCTCCTGCCTGACTGCCTTCCTCCTGCACCCCCTAGCATTTTGCAGGCTGGAACTCTGCCAGCCTGCAAGGGGAAACCCATTTTTTCCTGCATTTTTCTCCTTTAAAGGAGAAAATCTGGGTTTTACCCCATTTTTCCATGGCAAACAGAAAACCCAGATCCCTGGTGGCCGCAATCTGTCTGGTACAGGTGATGGAAATGCATGCATGGGTACATAGGAGATGCGCAGAGGCTGAAGATGAGAGAAGCTGATGGGTGAGGAGGTTCCAACAAGAGTCAGTCTTTGGCCTGGCAGGATGTTCCTCTCCAGGCCTTTTCTCTGCCCCAGGGGTGGTAGTTGACCTGTCTCAAGTAAACTCTATGGCAGTGGTTCTCAAACTTTTATCTCTTGCCAACCACTTGAAAATTGTTGAGGGTCTCAGCAGACCACTTAATAAACTTTTTTTGTTCTACAAATCAAAGCACACACTCATATTTTAATATCAGTAGTCTTACCTTACAAGTACGGATATTCTCAATTGTTCCACAACCTTTCTGTGGACCACCTGAACGGAGCTTGTGGACCAGTGGTGGTCTGCAGACCACAGTTTGAGAACCTCTGCTCTAAGGCCTTACCCCTTCTTTCTTGGCACCAGCTCAAGACTCACCCTCCCTCTTGTTGGTAGGTGTTAGGCTGGCTGGAAGAAGGTAAGCATCAGTTCCAGCAAGGAATTTAGGCAGATGTAGAGATGTATCTAAAAAGATTTACAAAAGGGCCTAAACAACATCTTTAGGTGCTGAAATACCTTGGTAAATCTGGCCGTAAATGTGTACCTAGCTGGTTTATTAGCTCACCCAGAGATAAGGGAGGTGGGAGTGTTCATCTGGAGAAGGGAGATCTAGGAAACAGGCTGAGAACCCCGAGGAGCAGCAGCTTAGTTTTGGGGCAAGGCTTAGACTGGGCTCTGTGTATTGCTTCCTATTGCTTCCTGCAGCCAAGAACGGCACTTGCAGAGCTCCAAGGGAGTATGTGCCTGTGGGAGAGCTCTGAAGGAAAGCACCCAGCATCCGAAAGTTAATAGCAAGGAACTCCCACACCCACAGCTGTGCAGGGACTCTGATATCTAGGGAGATACAGATGAACTGTACTGAGTCCAACATCAGAAATACATTTCCTGACTGTGTAGAGACTGTGCAGAGAACTCACCCCCATTTCATTATATTTTTATTTATTAATAATTGACTGATGATGCATCCTATTATATATGTCACACCTACCTGTAGGCCACATGTATCATATCACCCTATCATAGGACACACATATGTTGCATTTAAGCTGGTATGTCTACCTGTAGTATCGTCTGACAGCACTTTATTCATACACCTGTCTGCAGTTCCTTTCCAAGTATGATATGTGCTCCAGAATAGGTTTGGATTTGTTCATTTGCTGTGTAAACATCTGTCTGTTTAATTACCCAGCTTTCTAGCTGGCAAAAAATACACAGCTATAACTGGCTAGTGCATGGATCAAGTTGGCTGCCTTTAAACAGCTCTTAAATATAGCTGAAGTCAGTTCCAAAGGCTGCTGAGAAAAAGAGCAGGTTCCTGCAACAGGACTTCCCAGGACCTCAATGCCTCTTTGCTTTTGCCAGGGCACCCATGGATGCCCTGGCACTACCAAAAGCAAATTTTGACACCATCAAAAGCAAATTAATCAGTCTCACTCCACAACTGTAATACAAGCACAGTGTGTAACACTTGGGGAGATGAAGATGCCGGAATCTGAAGACAGGAATAGGATTAAGGTTGAAGTCATTACATAGTCACTGGCTCCTTTGCTGCAAGCATGGAGCTAAGGTCTAGAGCACTGGTCATAATGCCTAGTAGGCAGCAATGTATGTCCCAGTATCTGTATGCAGAATGCCACAAAGTAGAATGACAGCCATGGACACACAGCACTTCTCTTCATGATTCATTTGAATATAATAGCATCTTTCATATGGTGGCATCATTTCCAAATGCTTTAGAGATGCGACCACATGGGGTGGTCAATTTGAAAGAGACCAGAGGGCGAAAGAGAACAGTTATAGAGTAACATAAATAATGGCAGTTGAATGAAGGGTACCTGTATTTGAGGAATTGGATGATGCTGCCGTGTTTCCCTGCAATTCACAATGCAGTGAGAATAGTAGAGGGACGACAAACTCACAAATGAGAGACTTGGAGAGTAGACAGGGGTTTAAGAGAGACTGGAAGTGACATGGAGAACGGATAAAGCAGGTTAATATAAAGAGACTGTTTCACTGCTTTTGCAACAGCACGGAGTGTAGAGCCTCCAGACATGCTGATAGCACCAGGGAGCAGAGAGAAGAAAAGAGATGATGTGATCCCTGCTTTTGTGAAATTGTTCCACTCTGCGGAGTCTACAACTTGACTGGGAATAACCAGGGCATTTTGTCTTGCAGGACCATCAAGGTGGAGGTGTATGATTGGGACCGGGACGGCAGGTGAGGAGAGCTCAAGGAGCTGTGGAGCATTTGGCTGGAGGAGTACAGACCCTAAATGTGCCTGAACGGTTGTAGCCCTAGTTAGCATGGGTGTGATCCTGCTTCTACCAACCCAGTGGGCAGGATCAGGGCCAGCTTCCACTCTTTTTTTAGTGAGAAATAATGTATTTGTGATGTTCAGGGCAGGTGGGGAGGAAGAGGAGGACAGGCAGGACGGATGATGAAAAAGAGAAGGCAAGTGAGAAGGAGTAGATTGCACAGTTGCAGTTCTTCCCAGGATACCTCCTATGTAGCTGTGATCTAGGCAGGCTGCCCTTCCCAGTTACAGCATGAAAAGGTCAATGTGATTGTGATGCCCTGAGTCCCATGCCTGACCCCAAAGCAAATGATTTTTCTCAATACCATTTCTCATAGAGCTCCCTTTTCCATCCACAGCCATGACTTCATTGGGGAGTTCACAACCAGCTACCGGGAACTGGCACGAGGGCAAAGCCAGTTCAACGTCTATGAGGTGAGTGGAAGACCAGGAGACCCGTAGTACTTACCCAAAGGGCCAGCTGTTCTGTGCACCTTCCTTGTGTGGGTTAGAGAAGAGAAGCAGATAGATTGTCAGAAGATGAACTTGCTTGCCTAGGAGGGTAGTGTAAGAGTTCACCAGTGCTACATCTTGCACAATTTTTTTGCACCTGTGAAGATGGTATGTACATGGTAGTGTGTGGTACCAAATCAGTGTGCTAACACACACAGGCTGCTCCCCTTTGAAGACCTGGACATGACACTTAGCTTGCAGGAGAAATCAGTTTGATCATTTCCCCTGGCAACTGGAGAAGATTTGATCACATTGCACTAATAAAGTCAGTGTTCAGTTGGCAGTCCCTGCTCAAGGGAAGGCAAAGCCTGGAATAGCAAAGGAGGTTGTAGGTTGGCATAGAAAAGGACAAGAAAGCTACATGGGGAAACCAGTTCTGGAATAGCATCAAGGACTGTAGGTTGGCGCTGACAGGCACTGGCAGAGCTGAGGACATGGGGAGTCCAAGATGGCAATCTCAGGTGGGACTATGGGTTGGGGTGGAGGAGCATCAGCTGAGAGCTGTGGGGGGTGGGCGCAGCCAGGTTGGAACTACAGATCAGGAGCAAAGAAAGTGCTCTGGCTGGAAATTGTTCAGAAATCAAGGTCATTGGGGCCTCTCTGAGCATTGAAAATATTATTAACTAATTAGCCATTTCCTGACATTAATCAATAATAAAGGCTATTTTCTACTATACAGCCATAAAGAGGTCTTACCTTGATTGGATATGAAAATATCTTTGAGCTACCCTAGGGCACTGCCACATTTTTGTTTGCTATTGGGCAGTTTTTTATAGTTCTGTAGCTGGAGGATCAGTTTAATCTTTCTAGAAAGCCGAGGCAGTCCGAGAGAGCAGGGGAGTACAACTTACTAGGGGCGGAAAAGGGGAGAGGGCCTAGAATGGACACCTGGCTGAGTGTGACACCGGGCTACATGCCTACCTGGTGTGAATTGAATTAAGTGGGGCTCTGCCAGTTGACATATGTCAAATTACTGGTCCAGAAGTTGACATCGGTCACATTACTGGCCCAGAAATGTGATGTCGCCAGCGAAGCTGAGGCTGGACCATGTGGCTGTAGTTTACTATAAACTGTGCCATATATAGTTAGTACTATATAGTTAGATATAGAAAGAGTAATGTAGGTGCCTTCCTGGTGAACTCATCAGGGTCATTTTTAATATTGCCGCTTTGCCAGATGAGTTCTACCACAGGTATGGCAGGCTTCAGTCCACACTGTGCCTCCATCCATGTGAATAAGTGCAGCTCTTGTCAGGCCCCTTGTCCCTTTGCCAGTCAGATCCCACAGACACTTCCAATAAACGCTAGTGCATCCCTAGGTTCATCTCAGGACTACTGCTAATGGCAGCTGACTCCTCAAGTATGATACCTGAGGCACACTGACCCTGGCTAGCTTGCTGCAGGACCATCTCAAAGACCACTGGGATATTCAATCTTGTTGAGTTGTGTGTGGGGAGAAAACATGGCCAGTTTGAGATTAAGAGATCAGACAGCAGTGCCAGGCATGATTAGGAAAGTGGAGCAGAAAGGTTAGTAGGCCATATCTTCAGCTGGGATAAATCGGGAGAGCTCTGTCGCTCCAGTGGAACTTGGCTGGTTTGCACTAGCTGAGAGTCTGACCCAAATGATCAAAATACGATACGCGCATTGTGGTTGAACAGTGATCAAGAGGAATATGATACCGTTTAACAGAAACGTTCAAAATGAGGCAGTACTTTTTTAATGTTCAAAGGGGTTTTTAATGTTCAAAGGCATTCATATGGCTCTATCCAAACGCTTCCTTCAAAAGTAAAACACTGGAACAAATAACCCAGAGAGGAGGTGAGATCTCCATCCTTGGAGGTTCTGAAGACCCGGCTAGACAAAGCCTTGCTTGGGATGATCTAGATGGGGCTGGTTCTGGTTTGAGCAGGCGGTTGGACTAGATATGACCTCCTGGGGTCCTTGCCAACCCTCATTTTCTATGATTTTATGAAAACATCTCCCTTGTGAGGCACCTCGGTGTGAATCCAGCCAAGAGAGAAATGTGTTCAAACACTGCCTATGCTGGATGATCCTGACCCACAGCTCTGTGGGCCTGTCTACTATACAGCCATAAAGAGGTCTTACCTTGATTGGATATGAAAATATCTTTGAGCTACCCTAGGGCACTGCCACATTTTTGTTTGCTATTGGGCAGTTTTTTATAGTTCTGTAGCTGGAGGATCAGTTTAATCTTTCTAGAAAGCCGAGGCAGTCCGAGAGAGCAGGGGAGTACAACTTACTAGGGGCGGAAAAGGGGAGAGGGCCTAGAATGGACACCTGGCTGAGTGTGACACCGGGCTACATGCCTACCTGGTGTGAATTGAATTAAGTGGGGCTCTGCCAGTTGACATATGTCAAATTACTGGTCCAGAAGTTGACATCGGTCACATTACTGGCCCAGAAATGTGATGTCGCCAGCGAAGCTGAGGCTGGACCATGTGGCTGTAGTTTACTATAAACTGTGCCATATATAGTTAGTACTATATAGTTAGATATAGAAAGAGTAATGTAGGTGCCTTCCTGGTGAACTCATCAGGGTCATTTTTAATATTGCCGCTTTGCCAGATGAGTTCTACCACAGGTATGGCAGGCTTCAGTCCACACTGTGCCTCCATCCATGTGAATAAGTGCAGCTCTTGTCAGGCCCCTTGTCCCTTTGCCAGTCAGATCCCACAGACACTTCCAATAAACGCTAGTGCATCCCTAGGTTCATCTCAGGACTACTGCTAATGGCAGCTGACTCCTCAAGTATGATACCTGAGGCACACTGACCCTGGCTAGCTTGCTGCAGGACCATCTCAAAGACCACTGGGATATTCAATCTTGTTGAGTTGTGTGTGGGGAGAAAACATGGCCAGTTTGAGATTAAGAGATCAGACAGCAGTGCCAGGCATGATTAGGAAAGTGGAGCAGAAAGGTTAGTAGGCCATATCTTCAGCTGGGATAAATCGGGAGAGCTCTGTCGCTCCAGTGGAACTTGGCTGGTTTGCACTAGCTGAGAGTCTGACCCAAATGATCAAAATACGATACGCGCATTGTGGTTGAACAGTGATCAAGAGGAATATGATACCGTTTAACAGAAACGTTCAAAATGAGGCAGTACTTTTTTAATGTTCAAAGGGGTTTTTAATGTTCAAAGGCATTCATATGGCTCTATCCAAACGCTTCCTTCAAAAGTAAAACACTGGAACAAATAACCCAGAGAGGAGGTGAGATCTCCATCCTTGGAGGTTCTGAAGACCCGGCTAGACAAAGCCTTGCTTGGGATGATCTAGATGGGGCTGGTTCTGGTTTGAGCAGGCGGTTGGACTAGATATGACCTCCTGGGGTCCTTGCCAACCCTCATTTTCTATGATTTTATGAAAACATCTCCCTTGTGAGGCACCTCGGTGTGAATCCAGCCAAGAGAGAAATGTGTTCAAACACTGCCTATGCTGGATGATCCTGACCCACAGCTCTGTGGGCCTGGCTCTGTGCTGCCCTGCATTTTGTCATCATTTGCCCCTGGGAATTGCTGCTACCTGTGTGAGTGGAGCTGCTGAGCGGGTAGCATTTTGCACAGGTGGAAGTGCCCGTTTAAAGCACTGAAGTAACAGGTGCCCAATCCCCAGGCCAGCCTCTGGCTGCTGTGAATCAGCACTGCTCCACTGACCGGGCCACTCACCCTCCATTCGTAACACAGATCACAACGCCCGTGTGTGAGCGACAAACAGACCTCAGCAGTGACCCCATTGCTTTGGTTCCCTCGCATTCCCATGCCTGGGTTTCCTTCCCTCAAACAAAGTGACTTGTGCACTAAGCAGCCCTTAACCACAGTGGCTCCGTCTTAATATCATCTAATGTGACATTTCTAGGGCATCTTTCAGACTGACCGCCTGATTCGTATCTCAGCATGTCCCT